TAAAGGGCAGCAGCCAGGGGATGGGGAAGCCTTGGCCCTGAGCGAGCCCTGCCCAGGGCTTTCTTCTGGACCGGGGGCAGGGCTGGCATGGAGGGGGAGAGCAGAGTCTTAATATTTCATATTCTGCAGCAGGGATTATTTCTTTCTATTTTTTTTTTCCCCTCCAATCTCTTTCTATCCCTGCTCTCTCCCTCCCCCCATTTTTCCTTCTGTGTGTCCCAGAGAAATGAGAAGGGAAGAAAAGGGCAGAGAAAGGACAAAAGCAGAATATTTCCATCCTCCGTTAATGCTTTTTTTTTTTTTTTTCCTTGATCAGGGCAACAAATCTGCAAGATTAAGGGCAACTTTAAAGGCCATTTAATAAAGGGGTCTTAACCAGCTGCTCTTTGACATTGCTCCCCCATTTGAATTTCTAGTTAATTTGGGGCATTGAATGCGCTGGTTTTCTCCTTTTTTTTTGCAGTAGGTTTTGTGTTTTTCCACCGACAGCCTCACGCCAAGGGAGCAGCCTTCCAGGAGGCTTTGGCTTCCCGGGGCTTTTGGGGAGCTGCTGGGGAGGAGAGGGCGGGTGCCAAAAAAAAAAAAAAGGCACAACCAAGCAAAGTGAGCTCCTTCTTCTCCCTTTGCACTGCTCCTCCAGCTGCCGAAACTCCTTGCTGTGCCTGGCTGGGCTGCTGCCATCCCTTCCCAGCCAGGGATTGGGATGCTCCAAGGGCAAAGCCCTGTGCCCTGTGCGTTGCCATGCTGGCCCCAGGAGGGTTTATTTGGAGCTGGGGCGTCCCGCTGTGAATAACCAGGCTGGCAGCAGAGCATCCTTCTCCTCCTGGAGGAACACCTCCTGTCCCGGGTAGTTTCACAGTGCTGATTTTTTAAATTGCTTTGTTTTTTTTTTTTTCTCTCTTTTTTTTAATCTTTTTTTTTTGCATGCCCTAAGCAAACGCGTTTGCCTCCGCATTTGCATGTCGAGAAAGCCCATTGCAAAACGCCCGCCTCCGAATTGCCAGGCTCCAGTTGGAGCGCCGGGGAATTTACATTTTTTAAATATGGATGTAATTTGTGTGAACAGGAAATCGCTTCCTGCCCGCGGCCCGGCTTCTCGGGGAGCTGGCATTTGGAAGCAGCCTGGAGAGGGGAGAGGGGACCTGTTGCGTGCGCGCCCACCGCGGCCCTGCCGGGGAGAGCTTTCCTCCTCCCCTTGATTCACCACCTCTCCAATTGATAATTCGTAGTTCTCCGGACTTTTTGGCATCAGACAGGGCAACAAGTCCCTCTTCGTTCCCCGTTTTCCTCTCTTTTTCCTCGCTGGAATCGTTGTTCTTTGCACAACGGGCAGGCAGCGCATGCCGTAGATGTGAATAACCAGCGTACGGCCACCTTACCTGCTGCTGGCTCTTTTCCTTCTCCGAGCCAGAGCAAACAAATAAAGCCCGTATAATTATGATATCCGTTAAAAATAACGTGGTGGCTGGGCAAACAGAGCAGCCTGCACGAGGGGAGCGCGGCAATGGCATTGAAACAGCACAAAGCCAAGTGGCTGGGCCCCGGTGAGAGCCGGCGTAGGTGAAATTTGGCGATAGTTTTCCAACACGACCCTGAAGGAAATGTGCGAAGTAGCACAAAGGACTCGAGCATGATAGGGTGTAACGGGGATTTGCTACGTAATTCCTCCTTTTTGCCTTCTCCTTGGGTATTTTTGGGGAGGCGCGAGGCATCGCAGGGAGGTGTCTCCTCTGAGCTCGCAGCGAGGGATGTTTTGGGCACAGCCCCATTGTCGTCAGCTGGGGATGGAGGTTTGGGGACTCCCGTGACTCAGGACCCTTGCAGCAGGGCTGGTGCCGCCTGGCTCCTCCATCCCACCCTTTTTCAGCCCAGACTTTGCTTTCTCTGCTTTTTCCCTCCCCTCCCTGCCTCCACATCCAGCCCCGTTTAATAAAGGTGCACAGCGCGGGCGTCCGTCTGCAGGCTTTTAATTTCGCTGGGAGAGGAATCTGCTTATTTTCTCCAAGGGTGTAATTAGGGCTGGCTGGGAGCACCCCCTCATTACTGCGCCCTCTGTAATTACAACATTTGCCTGCTGCGGGGAGCCGGCCGGTCTGGGGAGCTGCGCCGAAACGCTGGGGGCAGAGCTGTCCCATGTCCTGTGTCCCCTGGCTGAAATAGAGGAGGGGAGGTGACGGGATGAAGCTGCCAAGCCCTGCTGCCCCGTGCTGGGGGGCACCGGTGTGTTGCCCCTGCTGGGTCCCCAGGGCTTGGATTTGCTGGTTTTGGGGGCAGCAAATGAGTCAAAAGGTCCTGAACCGAGCACCCTGGCCATGGGTTGGGTGCAGTTGGGATTTCATGGGTGTGGGAGATGTGTTGGACACCACCGGGATGTGGAAAAGCGGTCGGGTACCCATGTTCCTCCTTTTTCCCTTCCCAAACCCTCCTTACCCACATCCCCCCCCCTCGTGCGCCCCCAGCCTTGTGTCCCGCTGGGGTCCCCCGCTCCGATTTGGGCTCCATCCCGCAGCGGAGAGGTTAACGAGGTTAACGCGGGCTGCTGAGCTAACGAGCTCAGAGCTTTGCATCAGCACCTTGCAGGGGAGGGCTGGGAGGTCCTCGTGGGACGTGGTGGCAGCCCCGCTGCGCCCTCCCCGCCTCGCTTGCCTCCGCTCGCCGCGGTTTGCGTCAGCCCCTGGTGATGCCGGAGGGTTTTTGGCTTTGCCCTCGGGACTGTATGTGGTGAGTGGGATGTTCAGGGGGAGAGGGTGCTTCTTGGAGAAGCTCAGCTGCTTTTTGCTGAGGCCGGAATTGTCCCAGGAGGGTTTTCCGTGGTGGGAAGCTCTTGGGAATGGGCACTGCCCACCAGGTAGCCAGCCCATGGCTCTGCATCCACCACCATCACCCCTCGAAACCTTTTGCTCTTGCTTCATTTAAGCCTCGGGACACCCCCACGAGCTGGGCACCCCTGTTTAGCTGGAGAAACACAACAAAAACCCTTAATTTTAGCATCGTGTCCCTGCCTCCCTGTGTGCCGGGGCTGACGCCTGGCCCTGGCGATGGGCACCGGGCTTTGCCGCCGCTAATGCTCCTGTAATCTCCCAAATATTTGCAGGGATAACAACTGCAGGAGTGGAGGATTTTAACGCTGTCCTGTGGAGGTTCTCCCAGCTCGGGGGAATTGCTTTCTGGCCTCTCCATCCCTCGTGCCGTGCGTTTGGGGTGGCGGGAGGGGGTTGGCGCACGGCGAGGTGCCGCCGGGGTCGGCGATCTTCTCGCATCGAGGGCGCAGGCTGCCAACATCTGCACCTAACTCCCCCGGGAGCAGATGCTGCGGATCATCCGGCTCAAGCCCGCGGGATTAAAACGTGTGATGAGGGAACGGGGAAGAGGAGGCAACAGAGAAGTCAGTGCCTGTTTTCCCCTCCTCCCTTTTCCAGCTCGCCGCTCCTCCTCCGCTTGGCATCAGGGCTTAGTCCCTTCTCCTCCTCCTCCTCCTCAAATCCCTCGGTGCTGCTGGGTGTGACCCGAGCGATGCAGAGCCCTGATACCCAGGCTGTCCCCGAGCATCCTACAGCAGCGTTTGCATCCCAGGATTTCTCAGGATGCGACAGGTGTCAAACAACTCGGGGAAACACGAACGCAGCATTTAGGGGCCGGCATGGCTTTGTCTCGCTCCTCACCTCCCTGGCTATCCCCAGGGACACAGGGAGCCCTTGTGGGTGTCCATCGAGCCCTTACAAGCCCTCCAGGGCCTCTTTTCAGAGCGGGGTCAGGGAGGCACGAGGACCCTTTTTACAGAAGCCTCATGACTTTTGATTGCCCCCCAGAAAGCCTCTGGATTGCCCAACGTGGCAGAAAATGCCAAGCGGCGCCCGGGGGTGTGTGTCACGTCCTGTGGGCTTTTCTTCTCCTCGCCCTGGTGATTTTTGGAGGATGCTCTGTTCACATCCCCAGCCACCAAGCCCTGGATCCGGCTCTGCAGGAGCGCAGCGTGACTGGGGAGAGGTTTTCACACGAGCCCTTGAGTTGAGTTTTGTTGGCTGCCTCTCGTGCCAGCCCTGTGGATTATCTCCTGCCTGCCCCCTGTGCCAGGAAATTTAGGTTTATGGCACCAGAACGGTTTACAAGGAAAAAAAAAAAGTGCAAAGACGGCTTGACAGATGCAAAATTGAGTTGTAAATGGGGAAAAAAAGAGGTGGTGGTTGCTGCTCTGGTACAGTGCCTCCTCGATGCCCTGCAAGTGGTGGGGTGCCGAGAAAATCACAGCCTGGCGAGCGAAATTGGGGAGGGAATGGCCGGAGAGGTGGGGAAGAGCCAGGGAGACAGGAATTAGCCCCGAGTTTAATTCATTGTTTCCAAAAGAGCAGTTAATGGATTATGACGAATGTCCTAGTGCTCTCCCGTAGCGCTGCGTTAAATGGAAATGGAAAGTCAATTTTCCTAAATGGATTTTAAACGACTGACCTCGCGTGGGTTTGTTATTTTTTTTCCCCTCGCTCGCTGTTTTTTTTTGCTGGGGAGGCAGCTTGGGCACCTCGGTTCCTTGGCACGTGCGGCTTCCTCCTCCTCCTCCTCCTCCTGCTGCCATCTCAGGCGGCCCCTTGCCAAAGGGTGACGGAGGGAGTGGGCTCCTTTCTGCCACGCCAGCTCTTGGAGGTGTTTCTGCAGGCTGCTGATGTTTGCTGCAGTGCCTGGCGCTGGCAAGCAGAGCTGCGGGAGAGGAGAGCAGGCTCCTTAATTCTTGGGGGTGTGAGGAAAAGCCCCGCTGGGCAACCTACAAGCTTGCCGGGTGCCCACAAGCAGAGGTTAAGCAGTAACACCCCGATGTGCATGCGCCCCGCTGCGTCCGCGTGGTTTTTATCGGGTTTTTGTCATGCCGGTGATATTTGGGGTCAGCAGGGCACCCGGGCAGGATGCTCCCCACCTAGCAGAGATCTGCTTTCCCCTGGGGAAAAGCTTTGAGCATCCTCGGGGAGGGGCTGGGCTGGGCCTGACTCCCCCGTGCGCTCGCCCCGCAGGGCTGGAGTACAGCGACGTGCTGCCCGACTCCTTCCCCTCGGCCCCGGCGGAGACGCTGCCCCACTTCTTGCTGGAGCCGCAGGACGCCTACATCGTGAAGAACAAGCCCGTGGAGCTCGTCTGCAGGGCCAACCCCGCCACCCAGATCTACTTCAAGTGCAACGGGGAGTGGGTCAACCAGAACGACCATGTCACCAAGGAGGACCTGGATGAGGTCACGGGTGAGCCCCCTCCCGCCTGCTGCCCCCTCTTTTTCCAGCTTTTCCTGCCCTTTTCTTTCCTCTCAGGGCTCTCTGACCGGTGGGGCTGTGGGCCAGGAGCTGGGTAGGGGTTTGGGTCCATCCTGGGGCTGGAGGATGCCTCCTGCTCCTCCTCCTCCCATCCCCACAGCCCGATGTCTCTCACCCCGAATGGCACCGCTCTTTTATGGGACCATGGGACTTGCTGTCCTCTGTCCTCACCCAAGAGACTTTCCCAATCTCCTTCCTCCTTCCCAGGTTTCTTTTTTCCACTGCACCTCCACGCCGGGGATTATTCTCCTCCAGCAGACCTCTTTCCCATTGGTTTTAGCATTCCCAGGGGGCTGCAGCCCCACAAAGTCACTTTAACGCATTTCCCACCTCCTCGGTCCACGCACAACTTTTTTCTCTTATCATCTGCGAGCCTTAAGAGAGGAGCTGGGTAGCAGCACGAGGATGATGAGGCTTATTAGGGCACGAGGGAAGCCTCTGCCTTGCAGCAGTACCTCTGGTGTTGGATGGTGAAGCACTGCTGGAGGGCAAAGCCGGTGCCTGGTGGTGCCCGAGCCGCTCTCTGAGGGGCCGTTTATTTATAACATCTTCAAGGCAAAGCAGCAGGGGCTTAGGGGAAGAGCATTGAAGAGTGAAACATGCTGGAGAAACCAGCTTCAAGGGAACGTGCGGGCAGTTTGGGGAGGAAAACACGTGTTCTTCATCCAGCTTTCAAAGCTGCTGTTGCTGCTACCGGTAAAAAACCTGGCAGTAACTTCAGTGCGGAGGTGATGCCGTGCGTGGAAAACACACGCAGGCTCGGGCACGTGTGCCCAGCAGCCACCCTGAGGAAAGGAGCTGGAACCAGAGCGGTTTGCTGCTCTGAAAATCTGCATTTGCAGCGTCTGCTGTCAGGAGGGAGAGTTGCTGCAAGGGGTATGGGGGGAGACGGCCACGGAGAGACAGATGAGCACGGTTAGGTGTCCGCGGCTTTTCAGCGTCCTTGGTTAAAGCCTTGGAAAAAGGGACCCTTAAAAGAAAAAGAATAACTTTTAAGATGACGTGTCTTGAGCGAAGCACGCTCTGTAGGGCTCTGACTGCATCAGATCCGAAGCATTTCACGCGGAAGAAAGCAAAAATAGGCCAAGTCAGAGAGGATAACTCAGCCGGATGAGTAGGGAGCGTTTGGAAAAGCAGCCGTGTTTGGATGCGTGTAAGCCGTTTAAGCAGTCACCCTGTGATTCATAAGCTCATCCTACAATTTTTGGGGTAGGGCATCTTCACGTGCAGTGCTTACAGAGGCGGCAGAGCCCCGGCTGGATCCCTCTCTGCTTTTCCTGATCCTCTTGGCCGAGGCTTTCAGACAAGACAAGAGGTTTTGGAGCATCTCTTTGGAGGTCTGGGTCTTTCTGAGAGCCCCGGTTCTTCCGAGAGCACTTGGCCCGATGCCTTGTTCTTTTATTTATCCCCTTAATAGTGGCAAAATAAGTGATATTTCCTTGGTGCACGTCTGTCAGGGAGGTGGCAGGGAGACAGTAATTGCTCCTCACAGCAAGCTAAGGAAATCACAGCCAGGGAGCGTGCAGCCACATCACGAGGGGTCGGCGCTTCATGGAAACTTCACCATCCACCATCCTCAGACGCCTTTCCAGAGCCCTGGGGAGCGTGTCCTGGGTGCCTCGGTCTCACTCTGTCCCTCTGTCCCCTGGCAGGGCTGCTGGTGCGGGAGGTGCAGATCGAGGTGTCCCGGCAGCAGGTGGAGGAGCTCTTTGGCCTGGAGGACTACTGGTGCCAGTGCGTGGCCTGGAGCTCGGCGGGCACCACCAAGAGCCGCAGGGCCTACGTCCGCATCGCCTGTAAGTGCCCGCTCAATTTGCTCTCGGGGCAAACGAGACGGCAGAGCCAGAGGGGAACGGGCAGGCTTCCCGAGTGGTAAACAGATTTCGCTGTTAGAGGGCTAATAATCCGGGTGTTATCCAAACCGGGGGTGGCTGGTGAATCAGCTACGTTGCTGACGTCCCCGGAGGATTTAGTCTCAACAAGGAAAATGTTACCCAGCACGGGGCTGGCCACCAAGGAAACCCTTTTGTCTCCGAGCTGGCCCCAGCTGAGCGTAGCTCAGATGAGATGAAGCAGTTTAAGACGCCTCCTGTATCTCCAGCATCCTGTACAGGAGCTCCCTGAGCGTGGCACTCTGTGCCAAGCCATAAATCGGCCTCTTTCCCTAATGCTGCCCATGCAGTTCCTGCTAACAAGCTTGTCAGCTTCACGCCCTTCCAGTTCCTTCGTACCTGGTCATTTGGATCAAAGCCTTTTGTGTGGCACTGCCTAACGTCCCGGTGCCACGTCCCGCTGGAAATATGATGAGTTAAATCCCTGAAAATGAGGCTTGCATCATGGGCTGGACGCACAGCGTGGCCTGTGTTTAGGGTGTGCTCGCAGCAGGTGTGGGCAAGGCGTGGGATCACCGTGCTGGTGGCCCCTGGAAGGCGCAGGGGTGGGCAGCTCCCGAATTCGTGGTGCCCTGCACTGGCAGAAAGCCCATTTTTTGGGTGCCGGAGCAGAGGATTGCAGCACCACCTAGTGATGCAGGGGGGCTCCTGCTCCTCCCAGAGCCCTGAAACCTGGGAAATTGCTTTGGTGCATGCATGGGAGCCCCGCAGTCATGCAAATCTCACTGCCCCGCTCCAAAAAAGTGCCCCAAATGCATTTTTGGCAGCTGGCAATTTGGCCTCATCCTTCCAGGCTGCGTTTTGGTGCAGAGAAATTTTCCTGTGTGTGCGCATCGATGCTCTCCTCCCTCTGAGGTTTGTGTGGGTGCCCCATTTCTGCCACATGCTGGTAACCGCTGGGTTTCCCCCTCTCCTCCAGACCTACGGAAGAATTTCGACCAGGAGCCGCTGGGCAAGGAGGTGCCGCTGGAGCACGAGGTGCTGCTGCAGTGCCGGCCCCCCGAGGGGGTGCCGCAGGCGGAGGTGAGCGCACAGCCTGGAGAAACCCCACAAATGAAGCCCAAAAAATGGAGAGATGTGGGGAGAAACGAGCCAGGTCCCTGCAGATGGGTTGCAGCTGTGCATTGAGGCTGCCAGCTCTCGTTATTCAGCAGGGTTGATTATTTGGGGTGGTGGGTCTGTTCTGGCTTCAAACAACGCACATAACCTCAGCACCCAGCTTCTCTGAGAAGCCACACCTTGGCCAACGCAGCAGTGAGGATGAGGAGGTCTTTGGGGCTGCTCCGGGGGGTTTGCTCTCCCCATCAGGCCCCAAAGTCTGCAGTTTGTCCTTGCTTGTGCCCACACAGTGATGTTATCAGCTCACACCCACCCCAAACGGCCTCATTAAGCACAGCCCAGGAACTAATGGGCAGCCCTGCAGTTGAGTGCTGCACCCCGCGTTGCCACCCAGCGATGGAGCAACTCGCCCGGGGTCAGCCAGCCGTGGGAAGCCCGTGGAAGTGGCCGTGCAACACGAGCAAAGAGCTGCTGGGCTTGGCGCGCTCTTCGTGCCCACGCAGACCTCTTGTGCCCCATTGGCACCAAGAGATTTCAGCGAGCATTGAAGCAGCTGGGTCGTGGCTTAATTTGGGGCCCTGTGGAGACCATCCTGGTGGGGGAGGCATGTGGGATGGGCATTTCCACTACACCTACGATGTGCTTTTCCCGGCCAAGTTCCTGCTCAGCTTAATCACCATCCTCCCCCGCGTCCTCCCCCCATCCCGCCCTTTCCTCTTGCCAGGTGGAGTGGCTGAGGAACGAGGACGTCATCGATCCCACCCAGGACACCAACTTCCTCATCACCATCGATCACAACCTCATCATCAAGCAGGCCCGCCTCTTGGACACTGCCAATTACACCTGCATGGCCAAGAACATCGTGGCCAAGCGCCGGAGCACCACGGCCGCTGTCATTGTCTACGGTACCCACCCTCGCCATTGGGAAGGGGCCGTGTTTGCGACCCGGGGTGGGGGTGAACCATTCTTTTAGCTCCGTCTGCACCTTCCCTGCTGGGCTCTGTCGGCGTGGTCGCTGTGGTTTTGGGTGTTGACGTGTCCCTCTCCTCCTGCAGTGAACGGCGGCTGGTCCACCTGGTCCGAGTGGTCTCCGTGCAACAACCGCTGCGGCCGGGGCTGGCAGAAGCGCACGCGGACGTGCACCAACCCCGCACCGCTCAACGGCGGCTCCTTCTGCGACGGGCAGCCCTTCCAGAAAATAACCTGCACCACCCTCTGCCCAGGTAAGGGGCACTTCAGAAACCCGAGGTCCTACCCCCGGCTTCCACGGTCCCCCCGTGCTCCCGCTCCCCAAGGAGAGGGGCTCAGGAGTGGGCACCTTTCCGCTGCTGGAGACGCTCGTTCCCCATCCTGGGGGGGCCGTACCGAAGCGTCCCCAGCCCGGTGTCTGTGTTTGGTGGCCCGCAGTGGACGGCGCGTGGACGGAGTGGAGCAAGTGGTCGGCCTGCAGCACCGAGTGCACCCACTGGCGCAGCCGCGAGTGCGCTGCCCCAGCCCCCCGCAACGGCGGCAAGGACTGCAGCGGCGTGCTGCTCGACTCCAAAAACTGCACCGATGGGCTCTGCCTGCACAGTGAGTGCGTGGGGAGGACGAGGGGACAGGGGACGGTGGCCCCGAGGGGATGGTGGCCCCGAGAGGATGGTGGCCCTGTTCATCTTGCTTCTGTGGTCCCCCTGGTGCGCGGGAAGGAGACGTCAGTTTTGGTTGCAGCAAGGCTGTTGGCCTTCAGAAAATGGTGATGGGCTCAGAGGGGGAGGATCAGTGTGTAAAAAGGGCCAAAAAAAATGGAAAGTCTTGGGTTGAAGGTCTCCAGGGTGGTGGGGTTGAGGGGTGTCTCAGCTTTCCGTGCCCACGGAGGTGCTCAGCGCCTTCCTGAAGCAAGGCTTGGTGGTGGTTGTGCAGGGCCCCAGAAAGGTTTTCTTAGCATTTTTTAAAAATTCACTCACGTTTTTAAAAATTTATTAGTTTAAAGCTATTTCTTGGCCGGTGTAAAGAAAGGTTTGGGGGATTTCTGGTGCCCGGTGTGGAACCTCACTGTCCCACCAGGCCTTCTGAAACCGTGCTAGGTTCAGGGTCTGCTGAAACCGTGCTGGTTGTTGTCAGCGCGGGCAATCCTGCAGGTTTTCTCAACCCCGCTGCGAAAATGTCAGTGCTCAGTAGGAGCTCTGAAGCAGCAGCTAGCTTCTAGGTTTTTAGGGAAAAAAACACCACTACCAGTGCGCGCTGCACTCCAAGCAGGCGCACCGAAGGCTGATGCTGCCACCTGCTGCCGCATGACACCAATTTCCCCTTTCTTTATCCCCAAAAGCCTCCTGCTCCAGCATCCACATTAGAGCAGGGGCTTGGGGCATGTGTCCCAGGACAGCGGGGTTGGTGAAGGCGCAGTGGCAGCAGAGCCACCTGCAGAGCTCCCCGTGCCCCCACGCACTGCCCGGCTGCGCCTGCGTTTTGCGTCATTTCACCCCGCCATCACACCGTCATCACCTTTTCTTTTCTAACTTTGTTTCTCCTAACAGATAAAAGAGTTCTAAGCGAACCCAAAAGCCACCGTAAGTGCTCATTTCATGGCCATTTTATTTCCTCGCGCTGCATCGCGTCCGTTTCGTTCCGTTTCCCCCACTGGCAGGGCTCCGGGGAAGGACAGGGTGGGAAGGGGAAGCAACTAAAAACCTACCCCCAAAATTTTTGTGTGCCTGAAATCACGTGCCACGCTTTACGCCTTGCTTTCACACCCCTGCTCCTGTCCCCCCTGTTGCTGCTGGCTGCATGCAGTTCTTGGGTACAGCACGAGGTGTCCAGCATCGCTCCACCATAACTGCTCCAGGCATCGTCACCCTAGCCAAGGGCACCCTTCCTGATGCTCCCAGCTCCAGGGTTTTGGGTTTTGGCATCCAGATGGGGCAATGTAAGGATGAGGAGAGCCCTCTGCTTGCTTGGCAGAAACAGGGGGGCTTGGAGTAGCTCGTGCTGTAGGGTGGTGCGAGTTCTCCCTTTGGATAAAAACCTCCCAGAAACAAAATAGACCTGACGTGGTTGTGATCATGAGGGCAGGGCTTCGTTTGAGCATGAAACCATAGAAACAAAGCGGTACAGGCAGCAGGAAGGGAGGAAGGAGCGAAAGATGGGCTCTGTGCCTTCAGATCTGGCTGCCAGAGGGCTCTTACTTGGTGGCCACGCACAGCACCTTGTGTCTGCGTCTCACGGGTGGTGGCATCTGACTTCTTGTTGGCGTCAACTCTTGCTCTTTCCAGGTGGATGTGTAGCTTGGGCACGTATATATGAGCTTTGTGAGCTCGGGGTTGTCTATATTAGGATATTACAATTGATTTTATGAGTTCAAGCTGCATAAACCTAACATTTCACCCCCTTTCGTTCCTCCCTCCCAGTGCTGGAGGCCACGGGCGACGTGGCCCTGTACGCCGGGCTGGTGGTGGCCATTTTCGTCTTCATCGTGATCCTGATGGCCGTGGGGGTGGTGGTGTACCGGCGGCGGTGCCGGGATTTCGACACAGACATCACGGACTCGTCAGCTGCCCTGACGGGGGGCTTCCACCCGGTCAACTTCAAGACATCCCGGCACGGTAAGAGACGTGCCCCGCGCAGGGGACAGCCTCCTGGTGAGCCTCCAGCCCCGATTTTCCAGGGACGCCTGGGGGTGATTCCTGCAGGTGTCTGCCACTTTTACACCCCCTATTTTCCACTGATGTCTCCCTCCTCCCGCAGACAACCCGCAGCTGCTGCACCCCTCCATGCAGCCTGACCTGACGGCCAGCGCCGGGGTGTACCGCGGCCCCATGTACGCCCTGCAGGACTCCTCCGACAAGATCCCCATGACCAACTCCCCGCTCCTCGACCCCTTGCCCAACCTCAAGATCAAGGTCTACAACTCCTCCACCACCTCCTCGTCGCCAGGCCTCCACGACGGGACGGATTTGCTGGGGGGGGGGACCCGCCACCGGCACCTACCCAGGGGACAGCAGTAGGGACGGGCATTTTGGGAACGTGCGGAGCAAAGCCCTGGGCTCCCAGCACCTCCTCAGCCTGCCCCGGGAGCACGGCAGCAGCGCCAGCGGGACTTTTGGCTACCTAGGGGGAAGGCTCACCATCCCTGGCACGGGTAAGCCCTGAGTTGGGGAGGAGGGTGTTTTTGGCTGGGGCGAGTGGTGCAGCTGAGGAACATCTGGAGATGTTCCCCCTGGGATGCTCTGGGGCGCTCTAGCTCACCTTGGGTTCACCTTTTGGGGTCTGGGGATGGCTTCTCCATCATTTTGGGACTATCTAACACCTGTGTGTGCTGTGCTAGGGGTGAGCCTGCTGGTGCCCCACGGGGCCATCCCCCAGGGGAAGTTCTACGAGATGTACCTGGTCATCAACAAGGCGGAGAGCGCCCTGTAAGTCGCACCGTGCCCTCCCTTCCACTTTCTGTGGCCCACCGTGGGGCTCCTCGCTCCAACGGGTGCCCCCTCTCCCCAGCTTGCCCTCCGAAGGCACGCAGACGGTGCTGAGCCCGGCGGTGACCTGCGGCCCCACCGGCCTGCTGCTGTGCCGCCCCGTCGTCCTGACCATTCCCCACTGCGCCGACGTCGCCTCCTCTGACTGGATTTTCCAGCTGAAAACACAGTCCCACCAGGGAAACTGGGAGGTAACGAGCGAGCCCTGCTTCTTCAGTCAGCCAGGGCCACAAGCTCTGTGGGGTACATCCTCTAGCACCCCCCCCAGCAAAGGGTTGACCCCAAGCCTTGGTTTCCTGTCTGTCCCTGTAGGAAGTCGTGACCCTGGATGAGGAGACCCTCAACACCCCCTGCTACTGCCAGCTGGAAGCCAAGTGCTGCCACGTTCTGCTCGACCAGCTGGGCACCTACGTCTTCGTGGGGGAGTCCTACTCCAGGTCAGCCATCAAGAGGCTCCAGCTGGCCATCTTCGCCCCCACCGTCTGCACCTCCCTGGAGTACAACCTCAAGGTCTACTGCTTGGAGGACACGCCGGATGCCCTGAAGGTACCGCAGGCGACACTTGGTTGTCATTCATCCAGCACTGATTCGTGTCAGCCTTTGGGTGACATCTGGGGGGTTTGTTCCCCAATGTGCTTTGTTTTCCTCATGCAGCCAAGGCCTGGTAGCTTCAGGAGGGTGATGTTTTGGGAAGGCCACCCTGGGTGCCACCACCTCCCAGGGCAGCAGGGCGCTGCTCCAAGGAGGAGCCAGCCTGATGCAACTCCCTGAAAAGTGACCGCGCTTAAATAATAAGCATGTTTACTGCTCTCCACGTCCTTCTGGATGCTTGGAGGTGCTTCTCTCCCCTCCTGGGGAGGTTTCACGGCACAGACAGCGCTGAGCACAACATGAAGGGCTCAGGTTTTGATGCTTTGGCTGCACAGAGCACCGTGGCCATTTAATTCCCTGTGCCTTGTCCTGCCACGTCAGGATTGCTGTAGTGCCTCTAGGTGGAGGTGTAGGCAGCGCTCTGCTGCCTGGATTTTGTTTCTCTCCTAAGAGTTGCTGGTGGGACAGTGGGATTGTGGTAAAAACAGGTAGGGTGGCACCTGGGGAGGGGGTTCTTGGAAGCGCCCGGCCTTTCTGTGTCGGTTACAAGTTACAAAATCCCAAAGGAAGGTCAGTTCAGTGAGCGGGGTGAGCTGATGAGCTCTTGGTGTCCTGCTGCCCACAGGAGGTGCTGGAGCTGGAGCGGACACTGGGTGGTTACCTGCTGGAGGAGCCCAAGCCGCTGCCCTTCAAGGACAGCTACCACAACCTGCGCCTCTCCATCCACGACATCCCCCACTCGCTGTGGAGGAGCAAGCTGCTGGCCAAGTACCAGGTGAGGTGCCACAGAGGGGCACCAGTTCTCGTTTCCCAGTGGGATGCTGTCTGTGGGGTCCCTCTGTCCCACCTTATCCCCACGGGGTGGCCAGAGATGGGATTTCCCCCTGGTTGATCCCGTTTGTTGGTGGCCTGCAGGAAATCCCCTTCTACCACATCTGGAGCGGCAGCCAGCGAGCCCTGCACTGCACCTTCACGCTGGAGAGGTACAGCCAGGCCTCCACCGAGCTCACCTGCAAGATCTGCGTGCGGCAGGTGGAAGGGGAAGGGCAGATCTTCCAGCTCCATGTCACGCTGGGAGAGGTGAGCGGGCAGGGAAAGGCAAGGGGACATGTGGGCAAAGATGGGTGGCTTCTCCCAGCTCACCACCGAAATGTCTCACGTTGCCCTTCCCTTGCAGCACGCCGGCTCCTTCGACACCCTCCACTCGCACCACAGCAGTGCCCCCACCACCCAGCTGGGACCCTACGCCTTCAAAATCCCCCTGTCCATCCGGCAGAAAATCTGCAGCAGCCTGGACGCCCCCAACGCCAGGGGCAACGACTGGAGACTTCTCGCCCAGAAGCTCTCCATGGACCGGTGGGTGTCCCCATGCTCTGTTGGGGTTGGGTGGTGTCCAACCACGTTATGTCCACCTACAGATGCCCACCTATAAGTTGGGGTACACCTAGGCAGAGTTACACCTGTGGTGGGGGGATCTCCTTGTGCTGAGCTGGCCCTTGGTAGTTTGCCCCCGACGGACAGCAGGTCAACCCGGGCCTACCCCTCTGCCTCTCCCCCGCAGGTACCTGAACTACTTCGCCACCAAAGCCAGCCCCACCGGGGTGCTCCTGGACTTGTGGGAAGCCCAGCACCAAGACGACGGCGATCTCAACACCCTGGCCAGTGCCTTAGAAGAGATGGGCAAGAGCGAGATGCTGGTGGTCATGGCCACGGAGGGCGACTGCTGCTGACGCTCCCCGCGCGGTGGCTGAGCGTGGAAGGGCCCGAGGGTGCCCGTTGATCCTTCCCCACGTCACTGCCAGCCTTAGAGACCGATCCTCACCGTTTACAAGCAATTCAAGTGTTACGCAGCGTTCCTCCTCCTCCTCCCGGCCGTTTTTGGGTGGTGCTGGGGGAATCGGGGCTTCTCGGGTCGGGGCGGCGGGGGCTTTCCTTCTCCTTGTGCGTGTGGGTTCCCCTCCCCTCCGGTTCTCCTCCTCCTTTGATGGCATTTCTGCGTCGAAGAGGCGAGTCCAGTCTAGGCAAGCGGCTTACTTCTGTCAAAGGCTTCAGGCAGCTTCGTAAGGCAAGTAGGAAAGGAAGAAAAAAAAGGAAAAGAAAAAAAAAAAAACAGTTTCTTAGGAAACGCAAATAATTTATTATCCAGATCTTTGGATGACTCCTTTTAAAAAAAAATACAGAAAAAAAAAAAAAGATTTATAAATCTTTTTTTTCCGTGTGTGTGAGAGAGGAAGAGCACTGTTGTGGTCAGAGTGGCAGAGAGAGAGATTTAAATGAGCGCTCTTCTGTAGGGAAAGCGTGTGGTCGAGTGGAGCAAAACTTGTTTACATGTCCTGGGACCCCCGGGAAATCCGTCGGGTTAAGTGCCTCTATGCCCCCGTGCTTCAGGGCAAGCTGAGACCCTCCCTGAGATTTTCATTGCAAGTCCCCCTTCCTGGCAGCAGCGTCCCCCACAAACGTGGCTGGAGGGATGCTGCCTGGTTTTTCTTGCTGGTTTTCCTTCAGGAGCAACCTGAGGTGGTGCCCCTGTTCTCAGCACCATGCTGGATGCTCTCCTGCTCCTCCTCCTCCTCCATCACTGGGCTCTGTCTCCTTCGTTGCTGGTGGCATCAGGGGATGCCGAATTCATTGGGTTTTTTAATGAATTCTTCCCCACTGTAGTTTTGGGGGAGCTTTTTAGGGCGACTGCGCCTTTATTATACATAAATACAAACCAAAGACTTCAGCCCTGCACTGACACACAGGCCAAAGTGGTGGGTTTTGTGGTTTTTTATTTTTATTTTTATTTTATTGGTAACAAAACCCCCAGATGTTTGCAGTTCATGCCCCGAGGTGGCACGGTCAGGAGGAGGCAGGTCGGGATGCAGGCCCCGGCAGACCGCAGCGCTGCGGAGTCCCTGGTTTTGAGTCAGTATTTTGGCTGGGATGTGGGGAGGGAGTTTTGGGGCTGGGGGCTGCTTTGGGTGAGGTCGGCGGGGCTGCCCTGCTCCTGCGTGGGCTCCGAGGACGAAGCCCCAAGGGTTTATCCTGCTGGGTCTCGTAGCAGGGCTGCTCCGTGTTCGCACGTAGTCCCTTGATAGGACGGCTGTGCCCCATGCTGCCCAGCATTTTGAAGAGCTGGTTTCTCGTTTGGGGTTGGAAGAAACACCAGTGGAGCTGTTAGCGTGCTTTATTCGGGTTGCTTTTGGTCCTGTGCTGAGTTCTACCTTGCTGGTGAGGAAGGGTCTGCAAGCCAGGCTGCGCCTCTTAGCTTTAGGAGAGGCAGCATCGAAAGTGGTCATCGGGTTTCCGTCCCATTGCATCTCCTTTATTTTCTCTTTTTTTTTGGTAATGGACTTGTTATAACAGTGGAGGGAGAAGTGCGATGGATGGAAAGTGATCAACGGGTAACGAGGCTCATCGCAGAGATACGGTGTCTGGATGAAGGCTAAACATTGAGACTACCTGCAGATAGAAATATTTACTAGGTGGTTGTGGTGTCTTAGAAATTTCTCTGTTGAAAAATAAAGAAATAGGAAGGGGATGAGAAGCTCGGGGTTAGACCAGACCACACAACAAGGCTGTGGACCCTCCGTCGATGGAAGTATTAAGAGCAGAGCCTGGAGGGCAGCTCCTGCCTCGGGCTGCAAGGCTTTGCGATGCGAAGCCCAGGATGCAAACCAAGAGCATCATCACAGGGAGAAGCTTTCAGTATTGCAAGCGTCTTCACGGGGTTGTTTTTGGCAAGATGAGAGGCTTGGTGTGCTAACCCAGCGCATCCTGGTGTCATCAGGTTGTGTGCTGGGTGAAATCACAGCCAGGAGCCCAAATTTCTCAGGGGGGGAAGCGTGCAGGCTCTGCTGAGGGGCTTTTTTTGGGGTGTGTGTGTTGCTCAGCCTTTTTTGAAGTCTGCAGTGAACACGCAGACCTTCAGACATGCAAAAACCACAGGTGGGTCAAACGCTCAGATGCATTTCTTGGCAGCTGTGAACCCAACCCACACAGCACTCCTTAAAAACAACCAGCGAGGGGCTTGGGGCATCCGACAGGTCCCAGCTCCCTCCCTCCAGCTCCTCGCTGTCTCCCTGCTTTACTCTCCAGACTGGATTTTCCACCAGGTTGGAAACTGAAGGTGGGAAGACTTGTAGGTGACTCCCCTTGCCACCTAGGAAGGGCTTTCTCTCTCCGTTAGGTTGCATTTAAGCATCCCATTAGCGGCACCCCACCCCTGAGCCGAGGGGGATAAGCGAATTTGGGGGAAAAAATGAAGAATTGCTCTCGCGCCGTGGCTGCTGGCGTTACCCAGGGCTTCAGCGGGAGGCGAGCTGCCCTTTTCTGAATCTCTCTCGCTCTCATTCTGCTCCGCGGACCTCGCGGTGCCTGTCCGTCCGTCCGTCCTGCCCACCCCATCCACCTGTGTTCGTCTCCCCCATCCTTTTGGGGCCGTGTCGTGCCGGCAGCAGCCGCCCCTCGCTCTGCGACCTGTCCCTGTATTTATGTGCCCAGGGGCCGGGCGTCCTCTCCACCCACATCTGTTTATTCTGTAAAGAACTGTAAATAAAGTTTAGCATTCCTATTGTAACAAATTAATTTTTATGCAATAAATTATATTTCCTAGTCTAATAAAAAAAAATAAATAAATTAGCCCATCTGTTTTCTCCTCCTGCATTCCAGCCTGGCACGTCAACGTGGATGAAAATCCCAAAGGAGAAACCCCTGGAGACCCCCTCCCCGTGCCCCTCCAAACCCTTTCCAGCTCAGCGCACAGCTGGTGGGGGACATGGGTCGGTGGTGGGCTTCTGCTTGGGTGCTTTAAAAAACAAAACACGGAGTCTTGGGGGATTTGGTTAGGGTTCTGCCGCCCTTTAGGGTTCGTGGAGGTGGCTGGTGCTGGGGGATGCGTAAAATGGGGGAAATAGGGGTTTGCAGTGAAATCACGTTTATAGGATGCTGCAAAATGAGGACTTTGTGGCCACGTTCATCCCGTAGATGCTCCCCATCCCTTGTGGCCTCAGGGGCTGCAGAATTGAAAAAAAAAGGGGGTGGGGGAGAAAAAAAAAGTGAGGGTTTTATGAAGAATGGGGAAAAAAGGAGAGAAAAAAAGTGATTTTTTTTTCAAGTGTGGGAAAAAGTGGGGAGGAAGGGGAAAGGGGAGGGATATAGGGGAAAAAAAGGGAAAAAGGGGAGGGGAAGAGGAAAAATGAAGGGGGCGGGGCTAACTGGGGGCTGGGGTTAATTAGGGCGGTGCTAATTGGGGCGGGGCCACGCCTCCAAGTGGGCGGAGCTTCGGCCCGGCTCGGCTCGGCTCGGGTGAGTGGGGCGGGGGGGCTGTAGGGCTGCCGGGGGAGGTGGGATGTAGGGGCGTTGGGTTCTTCCCACCCCATCCACAGCTCGAATTTTATGTTTTTTTTTTGGTGGCTTTTTTTTCTGCGAAATCCCCCTTTTCCGGCATTTTGGCCTCAGCCCGGCCTCCCTGCCTCCACCCCGGGGAGGGTGGTGCAAAGCGGGTGGTGCTCAGCGGGGTTTGGGGCTGGCCCTTTCCTTCCCAAACCTGTCCCCAAAGCCCCCCGCTGGGGGACCGGGTCTGGGGGAGTCTTGGGGAGATGCTGGGGTGGGTGGCGAGCCCTCCTGGTTGCTTTCGGGTCGCTTGCAAAGCTTGCTTTGGGGGTCTCGGTGCAAAGGGCTGGGGGCTCCCAGGTTGTTATTTATGGGGTTTTGTCCTTGTAGGGGCAGAGAGTTCTTGTTTTGCAAGGGGGAAAGTGAATTCAAGGCCACGGGGCTGGTTAATGATCACCTGCCCTGCAACGCTGCTGCACCCGCCTGTCCCCATCGCCCCTCTCCTGTTTTTTTGGGGGTCCCACGCCCCGCTCTGACCCCATACAGCTCCTCAAGTTGCCTCGTCCCGACAACTAATCATCCTTACACCATAACAGCCTGTTTGGGGTTGTCTTGCAGCACCATGCAGCCGGCAGCCAGCGCCTTTCCCCCGGACGATGAGCCCCTGCTGGAGGAGCCTTCGGTGAACAGACCCGGCGGGCGAAAGCCGGGCGAGCACCCCAATGGGGTTTACGTGATTTTTTTCCTGCTGGGCATCGGTTCCCTGCTGCCCTGGAATTTTTTCATCACCGCCAAGCACTACTGGGCATACAAGCTGCAAAACTGCTCCGAGCAAGCGGGACGGGCGCCCTCGGACCTGCGGGTGAGTGCGCAGCCGCTGCGGGTCGGCGTGCCCAAAGGAGCAGCTGCCCCTAGGTTTTTAGGGGCAGCAGGGGGGTCACAAAGCACTTTTTCTCCCCCCAAAAACCTTCCTTTGCTTCTCCTCGTCCTCGCTGCTTGTTCCCTTTGGAGACCAGAAAATCCGTCCCTTTTGCTGCAAGCACCCGAACTCAGTTTTATTTTCAGAGTTTTGCCATCTTGAGATCCAGCTGCTGGCCAGAGAAGCGTCCCTGAGACTCAACCACCCAAAATCACCCCTGTGTGGCCTTCCTTCACCTTCCTTCACCTCCTCATGCTCCCCGCACCGAGCGATGCCATTCCTTTGTGGCTGGAAAAAGCATCGGTGTGATGAGCCCACGGCCGGCCCTCCTGCTGCCCAGCTCGTCCAGGTGGTTTGGGCACATTTTTTATTAACCAGGGCAGAGCTGGATGTAACGCCCACATTTCCTCCGTGCTTTCTGACCAGCATCCCGAGCTGGGCTGATTTTAACACCCACAAACAAACTGTGCTAGTTTTTTTAAATATTCTTTAGGTTTTATATTATGCTTTTCCTTGAAAGCTTTCCCAGCACCACGAGAGCCCTGCTTTACGCTCGGGGCAGCACTGGGCTGGAAGGCGGCCCACCCAAAAGACCTTATTTTCCTCCCGCACCCACATCTCCATCCTAAAACCTCTTGTTTTGAAGGTACCCCTGATCGGATCAGCCATTTCTTTGTTGAAAAAGATTATTTCTCCTCTTTCCATGTGGGGTTTTTGTCCCCTGGTGCCTTAGTTGGTGTAAGGTCAAGTTTTTCTTCCTTGGTGATGTGTCCATGTGCGAACGCGTACGGGATGCTGCTGGGTGTGAGGACTTTTAATTCCTTCAGTTCAGAGCAACCTGGGTCTCCTGTACTGGTTGAGTCTCCTCGAAAATGAAGCCATCAGCCCCCGTTTCTGCCCTGGGAAGAAATCTGGCTGTGGCAAGGACTTGAAGCTTGCAGGTGGTTTGTGATTGCAGCCCGACACGTCCGCTGGGCACGGCGATGCTCTGGTGCTCGCTGCTCCTCAGTGGTCCAACGTAATCCTGCTGGCTTCTGAGCTCCCAAATCGGGATCTGGGGCAACACCGAGTGCTTTAAAAACGGGTACACCGAGTGGTTTAAACACCAAGTGGTTTAAAATGGATGTACTTCTGCTTGGTGGACGGCTTCCTGAAGCTTTGTTCCTCCCCCACAAGCCTCAAAAAGAAAATTAACTTCAAAGTGTTCTAAATATCCATGTTTTTTTACTTTTTTGGGGGTAGGTTGGTAAATAAGGCTTAGTTTAGCAGGTCGCTTTGTCTGTTCTCCCCTGATTCGGTGCGTGGCTGTGGAGCTCGGATCCTGCTGCTTTTCCCCGAGCTGATGCAGGAGCTGCAGGTGTTTATGTCTCCGCATATGCAGCCCCTCCAGGAGCAATTATTACATTTCTCGTCGCTTTCAGTAAAGCCCTTGATGGGGAAGAACAAATTAACGTGCTTGCAAACTGATTAAGAGACTGCAGCGCAAAGCTGCAGGAAAACCTGTGGCGGGGAGAGGAAAGGTGCTGGATGCCCCCCGGACGTGGCTGCTGGGGACCCAGGGAATATTTTATTTAGGGTCTCAGATGTAGGTTGTCCTCCCTGTAGGCATCATCCCACCTGCTGGCTGGGACTCCCGGGGGAGAAAAGGGTTTTAGGGAGGATGGAGCGGATGGGTTTTAACAGCATGATGCATGAAGTGGGTTGAAAATGCAGTCTGGGCATGGAAATCCTGCGTTTTGCTGTGGTTTATTGCTTTCTGTGTCCGTCTTCTCCACTGGCCGTGTGACCAGCCTGCTGGATGTTGACCCGTGCTCCAGCCTGGTTTCCCAAGTGATGGATGAGCCCACGGGGTGAATGCGCACTGAGCCTCAGCCTCTTTCAAAGAGAGAGACCAGGAGGGGAAATCACATCCCTCTGCTCGAGAACGTGCTCTCTGACCGTGTATTTCCCCCCTTTTTCCTGGCAGGACTATTTTGAGAGTTACATCTCCATCGCTTCCACCGTGCCCTCGGTGCTGTGCCTGGTCGGAAACTTCCTGCTGGTCAACAAGTAGGTGTGGGGTGGGCACCTTCCCCCTCTCTTCCGCCTCCTTTCTGCCCCAAAAGGGAGCCCGTGCAATGAGTAATTTCTCAAACGACTAATTATCTCCCTTCATCCTTCATTTTCTTTAATTTAAATGCATTTTGCTCCTTCTCAGAGCAGAGGAGATGCTCTCTGCGTCACGTTAGGGTTATAAAATGGGGAGGTGGCAGCGAGGCGCGGGTTTGGGGTGGATTTGGGGTGGGTTTGGGGTGAAGGATGATGCCCTTCCTCCTCGCCGTCCCCAGGGTGCCCGCCAGCGTCCGCATCCTGGCCTCGCTCTTCGTCATGCTCTCCGTCTTCCTGGTGATCACGGTGCTGGTGAAGGTGGACACGTCCACCTGGACCCCCCTCTTCTTCGGCCTCACCCTCGCCTGCGTGGCCGTGGTCAGCGGCGCCTCCACCGTCTTCTCCAGCAGCATCCTGGGCCTGAGCAGCCGCTTCCCCATGAGGAACTCGCAGGCACTGATCTCAGGTTTGTGTCCCCAGGGTTGATGTCCCCAAGCGCTGGAGGACTCCTCCTGCACGGGCAGCCTGGTGGGATCGTGCTCCTGGGTCCCCTTGGGTTGAGTGTAGTGGTTTTTTTTTCCTCCCATCCCTGCGTCACGCGGTATTTATTTTAGAAACTTGACTTTCCTTTTTAAAAAAAATCGCACAAAACTTGCAGGCTGGGCTAAAGGGAAGTTGCTGAAGGAGAAGCACAAGGGGTCACATGAGCCGGCACTCTCGTTTCTGTAAATACCCTAAAAGCTCAGCGCCGGGGGCTCGGCAGGGACAGACCCTCACCATGTCTGCCCCTGGGGGGAATGACCACCGGGGCAGCCAGGGCTCGAGCTGAGCTGTAATTTGTTCCCTGCAGGGGAAAAAGGGGGAAGGAGGTGGTATGAATGTGCAGTAGGATGGCTGAGAAACCAAAATGTAAGGGAAAAAATGGAAGAAAGTCTCCGTCTCCATTTCCTGGGGCCGAGACAGGAGTGTTTTAAGGAGCAGGGGAACCATGGCAGCGCCTGCCCGGTGCTCCGGTGCCTTGCCAGATTTTGGGGAGCCGGATTTTGGCTTTGGGGCTTGCTTTGTGCCCTACAAACATCCATCTTGCAGGTCAGGCCATGGGCGGCACGCTCAGTGCCATCGCGTCCCTCGTCGACCTGGCGGCGGCGGCCAACGTGACCGACAGCGCCCTGGCTTACTTCCTCACCGCCGACATCTTCATCGTCGTCTGCATCATGGTCTACCTCCTGCTGCCCCGCCTGCAGTACTCCAGGTAGGGGCTGGGCTCACCAGCAGCACCCACGGCACATCACCACCCGACCAAAACCCCAAACTGCTTTTGTTTTCTGTCATTTTTCCCATCCCTGGGGTGGGAGAAGAGGATGCTGCCGTGCGCCCCTCCCGGATTTCCAGCACCTGTATGACTTTGCACGAGGCTCACCAACTCCCTCCTCTTTTTATTTTTAGGTATTACTTGAGAAGCCACCAGGAGAGCCCGTCCCCGGCCACCGCACTGCCTGGTGGCCCCGTGGGGGACGCGGCAGGACCAGGAGGCACCGCGCCGCTGCCCAGCATCCCCCCGCTGCGCCCCATCCTACGTAAGACGGCCACCCTGGGCTTCTGCCTCTTCTACGTCTTCTTCATCTCCATCATCATCTTCCCGTCCCTCTCCTCCAACATCGAGTCCGTCCAGAAGGCCTCGGGGAGCCCGTGGAGCACCAAGTACTTCGTGCCCCTCACCAGCTTCCTCCTCTACAACTTCGCCGACTGGTGCGGGCGGCAGATCACCGCCTGGATCCAGGCGCCCGGCCCCAACAGCAAGCTGCTGCCCGCCCTGGTCCTCCTCAGGACCATCTTCCTCCCCCTCTTCATCCTCAGCAACTACCAGCCCCGGGCTCGCATCCGGACGGTGCTCTTTGCCCGCGACGCCTACCCGGTGGCCTTCACGGCGCTGCTGGGGCTCAGCAACGGCTACCTGGGCACGCTGGCCATCGTCTACGGCCCCAAAATCGTGCCGAAGGAGCTGGCCGAGGCAGCGGGGGTGGTGATGACGTTGTACCTGGTGCTGGGGCTGGCCCTGGGCTCCGCGTGCTCCGCGCTCGTCGTGCACCTCATCTAGAGCCGCCCCCGAGGACGAGCTGGGGACCAAAGCCAAGGGACCAAACAGCCCCGGGCTCAGGGGGACACCCGAGTGGCCAAAGAGACCTCTCCCTCCTTAAAATGCGGGCATCGTTTCGGGGGGATTTCCTCGAGGAAAGGGAATTCCTGGCGTGGGCGAGGGCAACTTCCTCACTTGCACTTCTGCTTGCTTGCGTTGTTCCATCCGAGAGCAGCCCGTGGCTGTTGGGCTCCCCGTGCCGCCGGGTGCAGCCGTGAATGGGCTCATTCCAGCAGGAGGACCCCAAATGCCTGCGGGGGTGAGGTGCTGGGGCACCCAGAGGGCTTCAAAGCCACTTAAACTGCTCTGTGCAAGCACAGCCCGGGCTACAGGCAATTCTTGTATTTATTTTCTCAAATTTATGGGCCGGGAGAGGTGAGGCAGTGGCATAGCTTGGCATTACAGCTGCTGCCTCAGGTGAATAGCCGTGGAAAACCTTTCCTGTAAGACCTGGTGACTAAAATAGTTGGAAGAATAACAGATCTCTCTTATTTTCTTCGTAGCCCACTGGGTTTAACCCCAGGCCACTTACAGAGATGAAGCTGATGCTTGGCATCGTTTGGGCTCCGGGGCGATGCACGTGCAGCTTTGCTTTACGGGTGATTTTTTTTATTATTATTTTTAAATCATAAAATCCTGACACGGGTGGAAAACTTACAGGGCACGTGGTACAGAGGCTGAGCTGTACGGCCCACGACTTTGCACACAGAGGCTCTGCAGTGCACGAGCACTGGTGATGGCTTTAATATTTCCCTGGTGGGACACTGACTCGCTCTGGGTGCAAGATGCTTCTTGCCTGCAGGTGTGAAATTGTTTCCGAGATGGAAATACCCAGGGCTGAGCACCTGCAGGTGGCATCTCAAATATTCAAGTCTTCAGCTTCAGGTGGCCTCGGTGGGCTTTTAGGGGGAGAGGTCTCGTGCTGGGCAGGTTCCTGAACTGCCCGGTGCCAGGTCAGGAGGTCCTGCTAATTACGGGCTGCTCCGCTCATCCTCTCCGTGATGTTACAGAGGGAAGTGACCAGATACCTCTCCAGACAGGACTTGATTGTCACTAATAAAGTTAATTCTTGATACTGTGTAAGTGCTGGTGTCTGCCTGGAGCAGTTTTTGGGGGGAGATGTGCGGGTGATGCTCTCAAGTCTTTTGCTCTTGCCTTGAAGGCAGGAAACGAACCCTGGAAGCTGGCAGGGAGAGAGGGGGTGGATGAAAGGGCAGCGAGCAGAGGAGCTGCATCTGTCGCAGCTTCTGCCCAGAAGAAATAACCCAGCTGATGCCCGACCTCTTCTGTGCCCTGCCTGTCCTCGGGGCGATGCCAGCTCCTCCAGAGCCTCTCGGAGGGGTTGTGAGCGACGTGCTCATCTCCAAAACCCTGCGTGCGCCCTGCGGGGTCGTGCTGCTGCTCCCTGCCAGCTCTCCATCTGTAACACCAGCCTTCGAGGCACGGGGGGGCTTTTGGCACGGCGCTGCCAGCATTTGGCAGCTGGGAGCATCTTTGAACCCACCTCGCTGCCCCCCAGCATCGCCTTGGCGAGGGACAGAAGAGGCCGCGCGCATTTTGGGGCAGGAGCCATCCTTTCAGCGTTTTCCTGGGATGCTGGGGCCAAACCGGAGGCAGCTGCAGCGCCAGGAGCAAGGCGGATGGAAGCTGAGCTGGGGAGGGGGGGGTGGAAATTTGGGGGTCCAGGACTCCGTGGGTGAGCTGTGCGCCCCGAACAGCTCCGCTTTGAAGCGGTGCCAGCCAGCTGCAGGCGTGCCCGGCTGCTGTGCTCCTTCTGCGTGCTTTATGGGGTAATTTGTACTATATTTACACGGCAGCGCTCAACAGTTTTTTTAAATGGAAGCGAGGAAAACGCTGTCGAATGAATTGTTACAAAAAAGCCCCGTTTGCCATTCCAGCAGGGGGGAAGAAAGAGGGATAAAAATCACCGTCCTAGGGACGTTCTGTTCGTCAGATCTGGGTATTTTTTCCCTTGATTTGTGAGCCTAATGCGAGGAGAAGGAGCCGCAGATGCATGCTGAATTCTGCAGGGAACATATGCATGCATTTAAATCATTTACAGCATTTACTGGTGCAATTGTAAGGCACATTATTTTCCTGCATTTGTAATTAGGCTCCAAGCAGATGGCGAAGGACTGTAGCTTGTGATTAGACCGGCTTGTGCTCTGCCGGGCTGCACGGGGAGAACAAACCTCGCCCGGAAAGTTTCTCCCCTAATTCTCCCCTGCGCCGCTCCCGGCGCTCAGCCGCACGCGATGTGCCACCCGCTTTGATGAATGCTTTCAATATGAGGAAGAAGAGGTTGGGAATGGGAGCAGGCTCCACACAGGAGGCTCCACGAGCCTTGTGTGTGCCCAGCATCAGTTGGCCGATGCCTTTTCTCTTCCCTGGGGCAACGCGGGGTTGGATCTTTATCCCCAGGACGTGGCTCCTGCTTTAAACGCACCGCCTCGGAGAGCTGCTGGCATTGCTTTTTGGCATTTGGTTGGACGGGATGATCTTGCAGGTCCTTTCCAAGCTGGCGTTTCTGTGATTCTGTGATTGTGTTTCCAGGGTTGAGCAGCAGCAGCCCAAGTGCCAGCACCTCCGTGCCAAACCCACGCTGTATTTCCATGCGCCTTTACTTAAATTGCCAAGATCCACCTCTTGCCATCCTGTAGGCACATCAAGAAGCCTTCACCGGGTGTCACTTATTCTTTTTTCTCCTCTTCCTCATTTCCCTGGCTTGCCTTCTCCATCTGCAGGTGTGCCAGCCCGGAGCAAGCAGGAGGGCGCTGTGCGGGTGCTGTGCCTGTAGATGGCAGCTTCCCCTCTGCCTGCGCCGAGCTGGATGGAAACGGGAGCAAAATCCGCCTGGGAGAGGGAAGGATGCTCCTGGTGCCCCGCAGGGACAAGGGGCTCGGCTCTGCCTCCTGTCGCGATAATCGCCCAGGGGAATGGATCCCCTCGCTTTTTGCCCCCCAAGCGTGGCTCTTCCCGAGGCTGGAGGTGCCAGCCGATGGAGAGGGGCACAGCCAGCAGGCTTGCAGCCCAGCCCACCCTCTCCAAACACGTTTCCTTCCCCCCTGGTATAAGCTATCACCCTATAAACTTGGAATTTGAAATGCGCTGATTCTCCACTTTTAAAGGAAAATAAAGAAATCAGCTGCTCTTTCGGCTCTTTGCAGAGGGAGGAAACACCAGCCACCCCACCGCTTCGCTCAGAGTCCTCGTCAGCCTTTCACTCACAACCCCCTAAAAAAAATCACGATCCTAACACCGGCCTTCAAAGTCCATGGGAAATGGACCTGGAAATTAATTTCGCACCAGAAAAATGCCTCTCTGTCAGCCCCTGTGCTCAGCAGCATTGCACAGGTGGTCACACACACAAAAAAAAACACACACACACAGTGTGAGTGCTGCACAAATTAATGCTGTGAATTTGCTGAAGTCCGGCAAAAAAGCAAAACAAAACTGGTTTGGGTGCGAGACGGGTAGCAGGCTGAGGGCTGTGGCATTTAGGAATGGGGTGAGAATTAAGCAATGCAGAAATTTGCCTAATTTAAATAGGGATCATTAACCTGAGAGCAAACCTGGGCACGATGTGAGGACGTTATTTCTCGGTGAGCTGCACCTCGGGGACTTCTCGTTACTCCCCATGGGTGTCACATCCTGCCTGGTGCAGGGCTGGCTCTGCTGTGTGCTACGGGCACTTTGGGGGGGCTCCCAAATCCCAAGGGCTCCCCATGGCTGTGGGGGCATGGCAGCAGCCCCCTGCCCGACCCAAATCAATCGGCGGAGGAGCCGAGGTAATTGCATAATTAGCAGAAGCTGTGCAGGAGAGGCAAGGGTTTAATTATCCCCTCCTGCTCCTGCCGAGGGCTTTGCCCACTGCAGCTCCAGGAGGAGGGATGTGCAGGTGAGCGTGTGGCTCCACAAGGGGTTTCGGGGATGGAAACAGCTCATTTGGGGTTTTAATTAGGAGCTGCTCGGGGTGGGGTATTGGGGTGGGGTCCCCTGAGACAGGGGTGGCTGTGGGTTTGTATATGCCTGCAGGGCAGGACCCAAAGCCCTGTCCATTTGGGGGGCTGCCTTGTTCCAGGTGGGATTTATGGGGCTCTCTTGCTTCCAAAAAGAATGAGAAATGGGGCGAAAGTGGTGAATCTGGCTGCTGTCTTTAGGGCCTTTGTAGGGAGGGCTCGGGCTGGGGACAGGGATCTGCCCTGTGATGTCCTGCGGGGATCAGGCTGAGGATGGAGACGAGGTGTGGGGAAGCCACCTGCTCTTCCCCCGGCTTTTAGGGACAAATATCCTGCCGAAGCTGATGCCCCTCTGGATGCAGGGCCCTGGGCAAGCAGGAGCTGTGACTGTGAGCACAGTGGGGTGACAACCAACCCCTCCGTGGGGAGGGGACTGCTGCAACCCTCATCCCGCTGGGCTCGCGTCCTTCCTCCTGTCCCTACCCAGCTCCTTGCGAGGCCACGGGTGCGCCGTGGTCACTCGTGGGGTCAGCGGGGACCTCAGGAAGAAAGGTTTGGAGCCGTGTGTGGGCAGCAGCGCGATGCTACCGCTGCGTTAGAAACCGAGGCACCCAAGGGAGAGGAGCAGCACCCGCTGTGCGCCCAGGGCGCGGAGCTGCCCGTATCGCCTTCCTGCTCATCTATCATTTACACCCTGCCCCCCCGGTCTGCCAGCACGGCGAAACGGCACCCGCAGGGCTTGGGAGAAGGGGCTGGGGCAAAACTTGACGCTCCCCGGCCTGAAGTTTCTTTGCAAGAGGCGGGGGGGGGCGTGCAGGGGTCCCTCTCCAACCGGACCCTGCGCCCCCGGGGAGCTGAGCGCGGTCCCCAGCCCCTGCGGGTGCCGAGCAGGGGTTTTGGGGCAGGCTGCTGGGGGTGGGGGGGACCTGAACCCCCCCCCTTACCTGGGCGAGGGGCGCTGCGCCAGCCTCCGCTGCGCCGCTCGGGCTCCTGCCCACCCCTTCCTCCTCCTCCTCCTCTTCCTCCTCCTCCTGCTGCCGCTGCCTGGGCTCGCTCGGCGGCGCGGCTGGCGGCCGGGGGGGGGCTCAGGGCTGGCTCTGGGACCGGCCCCCGCCACAGGTGATGTCCCCAAGGGCAGCGCCCCGCCACAGGTAATGTCCCCCCCGCCGGGCACCGCGTGGGTTTGCACGGGAGGGATGCGCGGGGATGTCCTGTCCCCCACCCCTTATTTTTTCCCCCCCGGTTTTGAGCCCCCTTATCTCTCCCCAGCGTCTTTGTTTTGCCGAGGGGACAACTTGTTTGGGGTGAGCATCCTCACCGTTATTGCTATAAATATATATTTTATTTTATTTTTTTGGGGGGTGGCTGGGAGAGAGGAGCTAGGGAGGATTCAGCGCCGTGCTCTCCATGGCAGGAGCCAGAGCATTCAGTTCTCCTCCCTTTGGGAAAAAAAAAAATAAGGGGGGGGGCTTGTGGCTGCTGGTCTGACCCCAGACCACAAAGCAACCCCCTCCCCAGCCCTTTATCCCCCTCCCCGCTTTGTGATTTCGAGCCTGGATTAAAGGAGGAGGGAAACGCCGTCAACTTTCCCGGGCTGAACTTGTGCAAAAGGCAGCGAGTGCGGGAGCGGGCGGGAGGCTGGAGTTAAAGCCGGGCTGCAGCCGCCTCCGAGGGGTGCTCGGGGCTGGCAGTGGCCAAGCAGGGCTCAATTGGAAGGAAAGAGATTTCTTTAATCCCCTCCAAAATCCATATTAAACGGGAAAACAGCTTTACAAAGCGCCCAACTCGCCCCAAGCGGTTTCTTGTTATTTCTTGAGAAAATGCTGTATTTAAGATTTTTTTTTTTCCCCTACTCCTCTGCTTGCTCATCTTTTCATTAATCTCTGACAAAGCCGGGCAGTCCTCTTTTATTTAAATAAATCCTTCCCTGGCCACCTCAAAAGCTGACCCCCGTGCGCATCCAGCTCGGTGCTGCCCAGGCATCTCCAGCTTCGAGCCGGCTGCGGCTTTTATTTAAAGAAAATCCTCAAACTTCAAGAGCGTGGTCTGCTCCCCGTTAAAAACGGCCACTAAATTACATTAGCCTCCCTTTTAATCAGAGGACTCGGGGCTTCAGTAGGAGAGCTCAGGTTGTGAGGCAGGGACAGCTTTTCCTCGGTTTGATCAGCCCGGCACCGACCCTCTTGTTCCGATCCAGTGCCGAAGGTTGGGGATGCTCCAGGGAGGTAAATAAGAGTCTGTGCCCAGTGACAACTAAAAATACAGGTATGGGGCTTTGTTATTGGTGCTTAATTGGGCAAATACAAAAATCTGTGGTGCTGGTAGTAAAGACCTGCCAAAAAAAAAAAAACCCACAATGGTGCTGCCAGCCCCCTCGTGCCAACCACTGCCACCTCCCTGAGCTGCCTCTTTTATTTATTTTATTATTTTTTTGGTGGGGTGTTATCCTGGAATGGGAAGTTTTCCATGCTGGTGCCTTTTTGGTGTCGTTTGCTTGTGTTTTGCTGTGCTGTGAGGCCCCCAAAGCCCTCCAGGTGTGGGGGTGCCCACGATGTCCCCAGCGCATCGTGCACAGGTCGGTGCAGGGGCTGGAGCACGCTTGATTCCGTGTGCCAGCCCCATGGGAAAGCTGCTTTTGTCAAAATCCAGGCGGGCGATGAGGGAGGGAGTTTGAATGTTGCCTCTCCCCCTTCCCCTGGGGAGGAAATCCCTCCACAATCGGATTTTTTTCTGCTTTGCCACCCCCTCCCTCCCCAGCCCTGGTTTCGGAGGGCACGCCGCGCACTTTGCGGCACGGAGTCGAGAGCGTGTCATCAGAGCACGATGTGGTGCTTTAGGAGCGAGTTGTAAAACATTCCCTTTATGGGCAACTGTAAAAATTGATGTTCTCACTTTTTTTTTTTTGGTGATAAGTGAGAGAAACAATGCTCGCAAGAAGCAGGAGCTGCAGAGCCAGCCTGGACCTAGGAAGGGCACCTAGGCGAAGCTCAGGGAGGCTGCATGTCCCCCAGGGGCTGTACCCAAAAATAAGGGTGTGGTAGCACCAGGAACGGCTTCTGCTTCTCCCAACTGGTGCCCAGCCTGAGGTCTGGCAGCTTCCCTGCCACCTTGATAGGGACAGGCAGAGAATGAGGGAGAACTTCCCCCGGAGCAGCCGGGGTGGCGAGGATGTCTCAAAAGGGCTGAATTTATCAAGTTTCTGAAATATTTGGCCCAGCTGGTCTCGAGCACTGGTTCTTTGTAAACGAGGCTGTGGGACTGACTTGCTGACGGGCTGTGGCCTCTCGTTAGGGTGGGAAGCATCCCAGCTGCTTGCAGCCCTGCTCTGCGGGGAGCGTTTGGGCACGGGCTGTGCTCTCTCCAAATTTTTCTGGAGGTTTGTTTTGGGACTAAAGGCTTGCTTGGGGTCTGAGCACAAGTAGTTGAAAGTGTGTGTCCTAGAACTTCTCTCCCTACAGCATCCTGCTTCCTCTGGTGACGTCCTCAACAACGCTGCAGGAGGACAAGGGTTAGTTTGGGACCTTTGTGGCCCAAAACCTACAAATATTTAAGATTCATGCTTTTGCGCTCGCGCTGCTGCAGGATCCTATTTCAGCTCGTGGGCTGTGCAGCTGAGCCGGGGAGTCCCAGTGCTTTTCCACGAGGCTCATCCAAGTCTTGCAGATATCTGGGATATTACCCAGGGCTCGGTGATCACCAGGGGCTGGAACAGCATTTTTGCCTGGCTTCCAGTGTTTTGTGGTCCCGTGGCTCTCAGCAGGGCTTTTTCCATCCTGAATCTGAATTTTTTTGCCCCACTCCAGCCATTGCATCACCTGCATACCCTTTGGGGGAGAAAGGTGCCCTTTGGGGGTCTAAATCACCAGGGAAATGGGTTTCCTGGTGGAAATCAGGTGCTGCTGGTGCCTGGGGAGCTGCAGCCCTGAGGAGGGCACCTTAAAGGGTGCTCAGGTGTGGCTGGGGTCTTGCAAAGGCTTGGACAGACAGGTGCTGAGCTGCCCCTAATCAGAGCAGCTCCAGGGGTGCTGGACACCTTCAGTTTTCATCCTGCTCCTCCTGCTTTTGGGGTCTGGCATGGCAGCATTCGAGGCTAAGGGTTTATCATTTTATTTTTTATTTTTTTCCCTAAGTAGCCCTGCCTCTGCCAAGCTCTGTTTTTGGCTGTTTTTTCCACCTTCCCTTTCCACGCTGGCACCATCTGCTCCTTGGTGGCTCCATCTCCACCACCTCGGCTCCTTGTTGGGGAGCCCGCTGGCTTGGTTGGGCTCCTTACCTCCTGCTTTTGGGCTGCTCCTGCCTGGGAGAGCTTTTGTGATGGAAAATGGTTGCTAGTCACCCCGGGCATCGTAGCAACTGGAGCTGCAGGCTTGGAGCTGCCCTAGACAAAAATAAAAATAAAATAAATTAAAAAATCAGGCATTTTGCATTGAGCCAAGACAAATGGTGCCTTCACGGAGGAAGGATGCTGCAGCAGGGGATGTGTCCCCTTCCCAAAGACCCCAGGGGTGATTGGATATTGCCTGATATTGATATTGCCAGGTACAACTGATGCTCAGCCCCACAGCTCTGTTCCTAGGTGGCTTTCTGTAGGGTTACCACAGCTGAAGCCTGCTGCCTGTACAGGGCTGTGGGGTTGTTGGGATTGCTTTATGGCTCTTGGAGAGCTCCTTTCCCTTCCAAGTGGGACAAAGTTTTCTTGCCCAGACGTTTCTGCTCAAATGGGATGTTTGCTTTTGGACCGGAGCCTTTGGTTATCCGATAAGCCCGCGCTGCCTTGCAGATAATGCTCGTTT